ATCAATACTTCACTCAAGTTTTATTCTCGCATGCATGTTTCATCACATTTCAGCGTAACTTTCGCTGGTGCAGTCGTCTACCACATCCTAATAGCGCATTTTCCCCCACGAGCAATCTATCCCCAGCATTTTCCCCCAGCCGCTACCTCTCCCCGCCCCGACTCCCCTACCACGCGCCGCTGTTCAAGAAGGAGCTAAGGTCTGCTCGCCTCATCAGTATGCAGAGGCACAAGCTCGGCCCGGCAATAGCTATTTGCTTCAATAGAGCCCATATTTTGCCGCTGCAGGAAGCGCTGCTGACACTCCGTCTGCCTCTCCACACACAATGTTTAACCTTCTTTCTGGTGCCGCTGAGCATTGTTTGTTCAAGGAGAAACGCTACCGTTCGTCTTGCTCTACGCAGCGATGTGGTGACACGTCATAACGTATTTGTACCTCCTCATTGTCTGTTTCTTGGCAATATGGCACACACGAGTCATTCTGAGTCGTATGTCCCGACAAACTGGAAGCTTCAATTTAAAAACTGAGCGCGGGAACGCGTGATCGGTAAATTTGCCAAGAGAACCCCTGAAATGAAAATTTGTGTAACGAGTAAAAATTATTGAAGAGGGGGAGGCTCCATTGAATAAATTTGGCAGCCAAGAAGGCCATTGCATATGGAGCACATCTGTTAGTTCCAGAAAATTGCGATTTTCTTTTATATTTCAGTGCTAACTGTGATATGATATATCATACTCTCTGAAGAATAAATATAATTGAACTTTTGAATACACTTGTATGTTTTTACTTGTACTCCTTAAAAGTCGACACGAGTCCCAAATGCAGTACGTTTAGAATTCATCTCTGCTCCGCTTTGCGCATGACTACATTAGAGAGATGATGTAAGTTTCTTATGCAACATTGTATTGAGCCTGATAAAGCTAACACTAATATTCTTCGCTTATCAAAATGGCGGGACAAACTTACGATCGCTACTGTCCCATACCGTCAAATTATCAGCTGGAAAGACATTTCAAAAAAGCAATTGACACAAAATACTGCATAAATAAAAATAGAAATAGTAATTTAACATTAAACTTCGTTATCGAAAAATTATTACCCATGTATCCACAATCAAATTATTATTCATCATTACAGCTATCCTTGTTTAATAATTTTAGGCTGAAATCATAAAGTGATGCTTTTTGAATTAGTTAAATAAGATGCCGGAATTGTTGATGGAAACCAGAATACACGAATGATTCACAATCTTGAAGTGAATATAATACCGCTGAGAATATATCTTCTTAGTAATTCAGATTGAAAGCTTCAAACAATGGGAATGAATGGGAAGACAATTTCCCTTCACGAGTTAATTTCGAATCATCGCAGATTGCGAGGTCCAAGCTAATGAGGAGTCGTTTTTCGAGGCTTTGTGCACATAAAATTAAAAACTGTAATGCATGCTAACTCGCAGCACTTACAACCATCAACGATCAGGTCATCGACACCAGACGTCGAGGGCAGTAAACAACGACGCCGTTGTAAGGAGACGTCAATGTTTGTTCAGCTAATAATGACCTAGGTTGTACGACATTGTACTCTTCGTCCTCAAATTCTTGATGCTGACATAACTTTATTATTAATAAAGCCCCTGCTTAAGCTAAAATAACTTTAGGAATAATAAATCACCTTCTTTATATAAGATATTAGTAAGTTACGTAAAAATGTTCCCAACACAACTTAAGCAAGATCAGTAAAAAATTAAAAATAACACAATATTGCTGCATGTCTCTCTGATGTTCCATGCTAGTTCAAAGTAGACAAATCCAAGTGAATGAACACACAAAAAAATGTTCATATTGCTAAGTAAGAAATCACAATTAGACTCGAACAATAAGAATTAATTACTATTAATTATAGCTGCTTTAGTTACATTTTATTCATTTATTTATTTATCTTAGCAGGTTTTGGTGCCGGAGAGTCAACACGCCACTCGAGTCCCTCGATCTCTACAAGTTCTCGGCTTACCTCGCGGTCGCGATTACTTACGTTGAGGGTCGACCATCAGCTTCTCAAACCTCGATTACCTAAGACGCGCAATTGGTTTGTGTAGGAAATAGTGGCTTGTGTAGGAAATTTTCTTCACAAGCAACCACATGTTTCGAAGATTTCGTATGTTGAAGCGCGGGCGTTGCAGTGGTAACGTGCTTGGTATAGCCTAGTGACCAGGCACAGAGATATAGCCTCAGGAAGGTAGATTTGTACACAAGTGAAGCCATCCAGCGGGAACTTTTACCTCAAAGTCTGGAGAAGCAAGAATCGAGTGGGAAAGTTGGACTCAAGAACTTGGAAGCATGGATCGAGCTGATGACAGCAATTAAACTCTCTAGTTCTGCATGGGATTGTTTATTCCAGGCAATCAGGACTCATTTGATTAAATGAGTCCTGATTGCCAGGAGACAATTGTCTCTAGACGATCTGTGTACGATTTCTGATCAAGTGTAGAATATCTGCTTGAAGTAATAATCGTTATTTAATTGTCATGTACAGGTGAACGACAAATTTGCGTTGCGCCAAATATGGTTCCTGTCGGTACGGCAGCTGAGGCAAAATTCGCGCAGTAATTTCCGTGGAGTGTCCCGAGCTGGTGCAGCGGCCACGTGCGTCAGTGTGAGTGAGACGAGCGTGACGTGAGGGTGTGTGCTGCTGCTGCTCCCCCACGTCCTCACTTAGTCTGTGATCTCCCGTCTTATTAATAATTGTTAAATAAATTAGTTCATGCTAGTATGCGCAATATTCCGTATAAAGTGATGAGAAGAACAATGCTGGCTTTATGTCATGAGAAAAAAATGGACATTGATGAAAAAATTATGAACTTGCAAGTTTGAGAGTAATATTAAAAAATGAAATCATGCTGCATGATGTTATGCAATAAATATCAATGCAAGAATATTTGAAGAAGTAAAATCCACTTACATAAGCTAGATGAGCGAAAAAATCAGTCAGGAAACAATTAAGTTTAGATCAGGACTGAGAAAACAACTTCCTATTGAAACTTGCCTGCTCATTCATTAAGATTGTTTTTGTAAGTGCAAACAATTGCACCGCTTAAAGTGATATTTCAGAAAAATATTTTGTTATGAAGATCAAATATGTAATTTATATAATAACTTAAATGTTTCAATAATTGTCCGACTTTCATGTCCAAGCTCAGCAGGCACATTTCGTTTCAAGTCAAGTTACTTCGTTGACTTTTCATTGGGATTTATATATATGGGAAAATATATCATATTTATGGGGAATATTCACGAGATAGAGGTAAACAATCACTGCAATACTGTAGTAAAATTTCACAGCATAACTGAAGTAAACAATCACTGCAACACTGTTGTAAATATCCACAGCAACACTTAGCTAAACAGCATCAGCGACACTATTATAAACCACGACATTAATACTGAGGTAAATAGCTACAGCAACACTGAGATAAACAGCATCAGCAACGTACACTATCATAAACATCGACAATAATACTGAGGTAAATAGCTACAGCAACACTGAGGCAAACAAACACAACAACTCTGAATCAAAATCTTGTGCATAAAATTTGGGCTGCCCTAAAAAGCAAGGCGATGGTAATCCCGTATCAAGTTGCAAGTGAGCGAGCAAACTTGACATTGTGCTCGCAAGAACTTTCCTATTAGTCAACTTTGGAATACTTCAGAACTGCTCTAATTTATTGGTCGCTCACTTCTGTTGGCTCAGAAGTTGATGCTTGAGATGAAACGTAGACTGAATGCTTTAGAGTCGGGCCAGCTACTTTGACTTGACGTGCAGCGAGGCATTTATGTTGATAGTGACTAGCATTCCCTCTATTTATGTAATTCAAAATAAACATATAGTCTAACGTATAGTCTAATTTATTCATTTAATCGACTAAAGGATCATCTTTGATTAGAATCCCTGTCGGATCTATAAATAAGCTTATTTGTATTTTAAGTTCGGTTCAAGTGGTTGGTAGTTTGATTTAAATTAAAAAATGTAATGTATAATAAATTTTGGAGCTAACACAACAATATTTTTCCAATTAATGCAGGTGCAGGTAATCCCATCAAAATTCATTAGGCTAAAATAAGGTTCAGCTGCGGTCAAATATATTTATTTTATCTGCTCCAACTTAGGAACCATTCCGCAGAAGAGAAATCTCAGTTCTCTAAAAATAAGAACGCTCATCAAAATTTCTCTCAAGAAATAAGCTTCAATAAAATTTCTATCGATTTTCAGGTTTACGATAAAACGATATAAAAAACTTGCGCTCGAATATTAATTTTACATTAAAGAAGTTTAAGAATGTAAAAACAATGCAATGTACAAACATCTTTTTGCATTGCATCGGTTGATCGAAATAAAATTTAAGGGGCAGAAGCATCAAATTAATATTGATTAAGGTGCTGACTATTTTAATATTTTTAATTATTCATCATTGTTGTATTGAATTGGAGACATTTAACCCTTCAGTTACCCTTCAACATGGCGAGCCATAAATATACATGAGTCTGCACCAATTTTATATTTTTCATTTAAATTGCCCGACGCCTTTGTCGAGTTTTGGCTTTTTTCTATTATTTTAGTAAATTGGATTCATTAAAATGAATTATTATACTATAACAATCGCTGTAAACCTAGTAAACCCGCGATGGATATTCTGAATCAATTTAAAGAACAAACAGTTTTAGAAAACTCAATTTTTTGGCCATCGAAATATTGATTTGATGAAGCAATTCGAATTTCTAAGGCTACAATCTCCAATATTTTGATCGTTATCTTAAGTTGCGGTCATGCTTTCAAGATGCAAATTTTTGGCTTGAACTGTACCTAAATTTTGTCATTCATTCAGGATGAACCTCGTGGCTTGGACTGTAGATAGATTTACAGATACATTACATTGCAGATCTTTTTCATTACAGATGCTCTGTAATACAGATACTGTATGTTTCAGATACTTTATATTACGGATATGCCGCTCCCAGTCGTTAATGATAATTCAAATAAAATTCATTTTCCAGAGATGATTAACTTGATTAAAATCTTTTGAGTTCTCCCGTGACGGTGCAGAGTGACGGAATGTGATTTCAAGAAGATGCTTCTGCATTAAAAATTTTACAAGGATTAGGCCTGCTTTCCTGAAGAGTTCTCAAAAGATTACATAAATGATGATCTTCTTTATACACCTCGCGATTTGCGCAGCAGGTAAGACTTGCTGAATATATTGTTACTCATCAGCTTTATACCATTAAAGTTACTTAGTCTCGTGTATATTCATTGCTTTGGCATAGTTAAGGCCATTGTCGTTACTTCCGCTTGAAATTAGTGCGTAAATTACGGTAGAAATTAAAAACTTTATTCGAAAGCTCGGGGATAATCTTCAATGTGAATTGTTGCACATAAGAGACATGATTAAATAATTTTGTTGAAATCTGTTGTCGATAATATTTGCTGTATTGTGCAGCGGTGGTTAATTAAGAAGAATAAACTCCACGGGAAAAACTCCCAATATTTAACTTACTCTCGACACCCAACTTAATAGCACATTAACGGGATAGAAGCAATGCAACTTATAATAATATAAGTGGAATATTCGATATATTTTTGTGAATTTAAATCCATTTTATATGAACACGATATGCAAACAGACAACTTACTACTGAAGAAATATGATTTATTGAAGTGAAGTGAAATCAGCGCAGCAATCAGGTTTATTTCCATGCGCTTGCCGGAGGCTTCCACTATTCGAACTGTGGGAACAATTGCCTGGAAACATAAATGAGGACATTTTGAACAACAATTTCACCTTATATACACATAATTACTAAGTTAAGGAAATGGACTTCGGCTTTAATTAGTTATTAAATTTAGTTATTAAACGATAATTAAGAATTTAAACAATTAAACTACGAAATTTTTTCTTTTACAGTGCACTCTTGATCAGATATTCATCCAAAAGATCAGTTATGATTCGTCGCATTTTCAATGACAATTTTTGTAATATTTTGATTGACTTTGTCAACGCTTTTGCGTGGGCATCTTCAGTGAATCGTTGGGTCACTGCCCTTTTAAAAATCATTGAATCTCGCCCATAATTATAAGGTATTTCTATCTTAAATTTCTTCATTTATTGAGTAAAGAATACGAAGATAATTTATGATTCGTTCTGGCATCCGCCATTGGTCATGAAGGTTGTCCGGACAGTTGATTATGAATTAGACTTCTCTCATATTAGACTTCTCTCATATTAGACTTCTCTCATATTAGACTTCTCTCATATTCCATACAAGAATTTGGTCGAGAGGAAGACATTATCCTCGACCTCAAGACGCAGCTGGTTAAGAAATAATATTAAATAGATTATATCAGCCATAGAAATGGTAAAAGTTATCCAGAAAATAATAAAAAAGACTGATCTAACAATTTTTTCAGCAATCGACTGTTTCGGCGACTTTCCTATTGTTTGTTTACCGAATTCGAAGTTTTGCTAGGATAAAAAATGATCATCTTGGGAGATCAAAGCGAATGGAGACGACTGCTTCCTCTGGCATTCAATTAACCTTAGCGATTTACTAACAAAGTTTGTGAATTATTTTTTTGCGCTTTCATCGCAATAATTTCGTAGATTTATCACTTCTTATCTGCATCCAGCAAAACAGTAATACAGAAGTTCAAGTACATGTAGAGAATCCGATGGCACTTGTTATTTAAATTCAAATGACATGAATGATATTTACCTAGCGAGGTGTAAACTTAGGAATTTGCACCTTGTATTATATGGCTAATCGTATAGAACTAAAATCGTGGATTTAGAGGTTACATGAGACAAGCGATATGCAGCTTGAATATCGTAGAAAAATGCCCGAATTGTATCTTCCACCAGTTTGACCTCTGATCTCACCCCATGTGACTATTTCTTATGGGGTTACGTCAAAGAAGCTTTTTACTTCCCACCTCTACCAGCAACTCTGTTTACGTCCCGCCTCTACCAGCAACTCTATTTACGTCCCGCCTCTACCAGCAACTCTGTTTACGTCCTGACTCTACCAGCAACTCTGTTTACGTCCCGCCTCTACCAGCAACTCTGTTTACGTCCCACCTCTACCAGCAACTCTGTTTACGTCCCACCTCTACCAGCAACTCTGTCTACGTCCCGCCTCTACCAGCAACTCTGTCTACGTCCCGCCTCTACCAGTAACTCTGGTTGATCTGAATAAACGTATCACTGCTACGGTGCCCTCAGTGTTTGTCGTGCAGCACAAAAGGGGACATATTGAACATTTATAAACATGTATAATAAGTCCGAACACTGTACAATTCTTCTTATTAAATAAGTAAGACTGCAACATAAGGACAAGTTGCGAATCAATTTAAACACGGTTGTACCTAAGCAAATTTCGGTGTCTCATTTCGGTGTAATGCAACGCATTGCACCCAGAGAATATTGCTATTCTTATCCATGAATGTAGTGGCTGAGTGAAATTAGAATTTGATAAAATAGGTTTGACGAAAACTGCTTAACTCCTGAGAAACTTTAATTACAGGATCGATAATGAATCAAAAAAGAAGAATACAGTTTCATTTCTCCTCCTATTCTTACAATATAATTATTCTTGATTGTACCTGGCATGATCGCTACTTAGCAGAGGTAACTTCAAGAGAGAAACATGCCGTAGAATAAACATGACTTCAAGAGCATCGCGGACTTGAGGTTCGCCAGCCCCTCATCGAGCCAATTTTAATGCAGACTTCAAACACTCGATCAATTTTTATGGGCCAAGTCGACTGAGAATTCTGATGCCCCAATCAAGGCTTGTTTTTACGGCGGGACGCCACCAAACAATGTAGGCGAGCGGTGAGCTCTCCGCGCGTCTTCTTGCCAGCGAGTCTCAGCGGTGATCTCAGTGGCCAGAAGTGTAGAGCCAGATCTTCATTTCTGTGCGTCCTAACCGACACTTGTTAAGTGACTGATTAAAAAAGTTTTGCACATCGAGATGCCCAATTCCGCGTTTGAATAAGTTAAAATTTTTGGGAAGCTTTCTCTTTCCATTGGTGTGTAAATTTTTTATTTTAAATTTATACATACCTACATATTCACGAATTTATTAAAAAATTAGGTCCATCATTTAAAATAACCAGTGTACTCGTTTAGTGTACTAATGCTAAAAAGTTAAGCTACTAATTGACCACATTATGTAAAAATATCACGATTTAATTACCTCATGCGCCGTCAGTGGCCTGGATGGCTGTAATCAGTCTCACTTTTTGCAATTAATCTTCATTCAATGATTTATGGAAGAGTTCACAATCAGTATTGCGAGATGAAACACTTGCTCTCTCTCATTCAGTATTGCGAGGTGAAACACTTGCTCTCTCTCACTCAGTATTGCGAGGTGAAACACTTGCTCTCTCTCACTCAGTATTGCGAGGTGAAACACTTGCTCTCTCTCACTCAGTATGGCGAGCGGGAACATGTTTTCTCAAGCCGACATGCCGTGAGAAAATCCATTTTGTTTGCGTGTAAAATAAAAGTAATTGAGTGAGCTCTTTCGCTGCGTTTGCTCAGCCGTTCTGATAATAAGCGAGCGACATCAAAGGCCTTCTCATTAGGGGGGCCACTTAATTAAACTGCGCCCTGCTTGCGCTCAGCTGCTGCTGCTGCTCTTCTTCTTGCTCATGCTGCTGTTGCTGCTGATGCTGCGGTTGATGCTGTTGCTGTTGCTGCTGTTGCTGCTGCTGCTGCTCTTCTTCTTGCTCATGCTGCTGTTGCTGCTGATGCTGCGGTTGATGCTGTTGCTGTTGATGCTGTTGTTGCTGATAGTGGTGATGCTGTTGTTGTTGGTGTTGATGTTGATGTTGCGCTTGATGCTGTTGTTGCTATTGCTGTTGATACAGTTGTTGCTGATACTCTAGGTGTTATTATTGCTGATAGTGGTATGGTGTTGTTGCTAGTGTTGCTGATAATATCACGTTTTTGTTGCTATTGACCATGCTGCTACTGATAGTGTTGTTGCTGATAGTGTTGGCGTTGTTGCTGATAATGAACGTTCAAGTTGCCATTGCTGTTGCCACTGCCACTGTTTGTGCTGTTGTTGCTGATGTATGTTACTGTTCATGTTTCCATTGCTATTTTTGCTTCGGGTGCTGTTTACTGCTGCCTCGAAGTCCCAGATAAAATGACGATACGTTCTTTAATTAACATTGTAAATTTAGAGACGGAAGAGATCATGAAGACGGACTAATTAGTGACAATATTATTGCATGACTTTCCAAATTGCATTTGAATTTTCACATGCATGTGCCAACCGTTGCCGTCTGCATTACAGGATTCTAATTATAAACAAAATTTAAGGATTATTTCAATTTTCGAAGTGCGGGATCTGAGGATTCTTCAATAATACCGTGGGAGGTTACTGTTTTTTAACATATTTGTGTCGTACCGCTACACCATCAAAATGAGATGAGATATATATAAAAATTGAAGCAACATAAGAAGGTTTTTCAGTTAGTTCTTCAATGAAACAATATATTGCGTGAGCGACGTCAGAGACATCTCTGCGCGTGAGTGGTGTCAGAGGCATCTCTGTACGTGATGGATGTCAGAGGCATCTCTGTGCGTGATGGATGTCAGAGGCATCTCTGTGCGTGATGGATGTCAGAGGCATCTCTGTGCGTGAGGGATGTCAGAGGCATCTCTGTACATGAGGGATGTCAGAGGCATCTCTGTACGTGAGGGATGTCAGAGGCATCTCTGTACGTGAGGGATGTCAGAGGCATCTCTGTACGTGAGTGGCGTCAGAGGCATCTCTGTGCGTGAGGGATGTCTAAGGCATCTCTGTGCGTGAGCGACGTCAGAGGCATCTCTGTACGTGATGGATGTCAGAGGCATCTCTGTGCATGAAGGATGTCAGAAGCATCTCTGTACGTGAGTGACGTCAGAGGCATCTACTTATTTACGAGAGAGACATCAGGGGCATTACGGTTGTTACGATTTCTCTGCCTCTGCAATGTTATTAAATTCTCATTCATTAACATCTTGCTAAAAGGTCACAAAATAACTCTCTTTCTTTATACACTTTCACGAGGAACGAAATTCTTGTCTTTGCGTCGCAGCTTTGAAGGTCTCGCGTGGGTTGAGAGGTCCAGATTAGCGGCAAAGTTCTTTATTGGCGCGGCGCTGCGGCGCAAAAGAGTTCATCGAGCCT